GAGGAACAGTCAAGCGAGGGACCGCAGCAAACCAGACAGCTGGAGCTTTACCTTGGCTTTCTTCTTGATGTGCTTCAGTAGCGGCTGAACCGAGTGGGCACCAGGCTGGGACAAGGCTCCGAAGGAATATTTCTTTAAGGGAGGACGATGGAACTGGCGCAACTTCATTGGGCCCATGTGGGTGGGAAAGAAGGGCTGGCGCAGCTCTACTGCAGGGATGGAGTGCTACACCAAAGCAAAAGACACATGCTTGTTCAGCACAAAAATCAGAAACAGAAACAGTGTTGTTTAATTTGATAATTTGATAATTGTGGCAGGCAGATAAGGAACTGATGAACCCCAAGCAGGAGGAATGCACCCACCCCAAAGCTCCTGCCATTTGCTCAGGTTACCACATTCTGCAGCACACAGAGCCAAGTCCTAACTTCTGTGAACATCCAATTGCAAGGAGATTTCACCAGGATCTGCACATGGAATCTTAGCCCATTCTGATGGGCAGGTGGCACCATTCTCATGGTGCTAAAGTTCTGCACCAAGCTCTATATTTCCTGCCCACAATTGCTCTCCTACTGGTCCTAACCTGGATAATGTTGCCTCCAAAGGTTCCTCGAAGTCCCTGCTGCTTTGGATAGTAAAATTCATCGTTGGAGAGATTCCATGGGTCCTTCACCTCTGGCTGAGACATATTCTAAATGCAAAGCATAGAGAAGGGGCAGTGTGAGAAATCTCCTCCCTCTGACCCATTCCTACCGAAAGAAAATGAAACCCTCCCCCAGACCTGTTGAGGCTCTTCCTTAATTACTCCTGTTTTGCCCAAAAGGATCCGACTCTTCTTCAGAGAAGATTCTTTCTTGTTCTCCTTGGAAGGAGAGTTCAAGGTCATCTCTTCTTTCTCATCAGGAATTTCTAGGAAGGAATAGATGGCAAACAACATGCACTCTGAATATAGGCCTTGGATATCTCTATCTCCGCACCAACTACACAACCAAAACTGACAAGAATGGGCTAACTGGTACAATTACTTTAAAAAGAAATCTTAACTGACAATGGGAAGAGATTCAAGGGATATTCCAAGCATGAGGCAACACCCTCTCCCACCTCATGGGCTCATTTACAAGGCAGGTTCAGCCTCCACTGCCTGTTAGTGTATTGAAATATCCTCACCAGAAACTTAACCAGGGTTGGGGGGGGGGACAGTTTAACTGTCATGACTATCTCAAAGGAACCTTAGGAACTGTAGTTTTCTGAGGCTGCTGAGAATTCTATCAGAGATCAGCCACCTCACACAACTACATTGTCCAGAATTCCTTGAAAGATAAGTCGTTTTCTGGAAGGCAAGACGCAAGCACCTCATTCAAGTCCTCAACAATAGGGTGCTTAGGAAAAGTTTTTCTCTTTATAGCCTTCATGACTTCTCTATTGAATATAAATTCAGGAAATGACACCAGAAGGCAGCTGAAAATCCAGCCAGCTAACTTGTTCTCAGAACCTAACTTCTCCTAGGATGACACCACCTTCAATTCACGCTCCGTGCTCCAGCAGGCATTCCATGCCTTCCCTTCTCTTCCCATCAGCAGAAGCCAGCCAAAGAAAAACATGCTGGTGCTATGTGCAGACATACCCAGGATAATATTTTCATCATTGGGGTCAAGGGTCAGAACCGGCGGTACCAAGACTGTCTCCATTGCCTCATCATCCCAGATAATGTTGTCCTCCCAACGACCATAGACCAGCTCTTCATTATCAATGGGGAAGATGGAGAACCATGGCTTATCATCATCTAAGGATGCTGCAATGACATAACAAAGGCACGCTGATTGTGTCCAAATACACTGGAGATCTTGAGAAAACTCCTATTCCAAGATGAGGCCTGGTGCTCTCTCCCAAAGACAGACTGCCCTAGAGGCTCTCTACCAGTTCCCAGGACAGCAAAAGACAGCAGCATTACAAGACCATCTTGCTACCCAAGATCTTGCTCCATCTACCCTAAAATGCAATAAGGATGATAGTGAAAGTCCTCTCCTCCCTACCTTGCTGTTCAGGGAGCTGCTTCTCTTTGCCCTTGGCAATGCCCAAGACTGCTGCCACACTGGGCTTCTGGACCAGAGGAACGGGCAAGTTGAGCAGGGAGCCACTGCGGTTCAGCCCTGACAGTGAAAGTAAGAGAGCATTCAACAAACCTGGGAGCTGCTAAACCCCGAATCCAAAAGGGTTCTCTTAACTTATCGCAGGCAGAGACAAATGGCATTTCTATTTAACAAGGAACCAGAACCAGCTTCTCCAGAACACCTTAGGAGGCAGCCAGGCAAAAAACCACAGTACCTTGCTGGGCATTGTAGGCAGTTGCATTCCTGGTCATGCTGGAGGGCAGCCAACCAGCCAGACTCGCTCGCTGCGTTTTGGTCCCCTTGTGCTTGATGTCCTCTCCATTCCAGATTACATCATCTTCCCACTGCAGCTGGGTAACCATGAGGAAGTGCTCATCCGCCAGCAGTTCATCCTTCTCAGCCTCAATAACCTGCAAAGGCAGAATGCCACCACCTTGAAGGTTTCAGAAACTCGTCCTCCTACTTGTAGAAAGAGAGAAAGAAACAGCTGCCCCTTGGGGACTTATTCCCAACTCACCACTGCCTCCTCCTCCTCGTGGCACTCTTTCTGCTTGAATCACTAGTCTCACTGCCATCTTCAGGGATTCCCAACATGTCATACCAGAGCTGGGCAGGCCCATAGCGCCATTCAGCCACCTTCGGCCTGGTATCTGCAACTTTATCTGCATCTCCAGTAGACTGAGAGAACTTGGACTCCACAGGTGCCATCATGGTGATCTGGAGGACAAGGGAGAGTCAGAGGGTCAAGAAAGGGAGCTGAAAGTGTTTTCAGAGGACTACTGCACCAAGTCACACTTAATGTCTGCCTGACTGACAACTGGAAGTTTATCACCCAGCAAAAACCAAGCCTCTGGATAGGAAGAGAGCCACCTGAGGCCTGCAGAGGAGCTCCCATCTTGCTGCAAGCCAGATAGAAAACCCTGCCCTCTGTCACTCTTTCATCTATAAAAACTCCTCAGTGGTTTCCTGGAATGACGAGAAGTCACGTAGCATGAACTCCCCCCGCTTTCAGAGACTCACCTCATCATCTGAAAGGCACTGTTCCGGGGGGGGAGGTGGAGCAAACTCATATTCCCAGGGAGATTTGCCTTCCACACCTGCTTCAGCTGTGGCTTCTCCCTCCTGGATTTGCACCTCTTGAGTTAACTCCCGATGCTTCTTTTTACGCTTCCTTCGGGCACTCCGCCAGACAGATGGGACGTTCTTCCCAGGGCCAAAGAGACGCAGAAAGCGCAGGACCTGAAAGGAAGAAGAGTTGGGTATACAAGCAACAAGGATGTCAGCAAACAGGGAAGTTTTTCGCATTTCACTGTGGACAACTGGAAGAAGCTAGCTGGGACGGTGGCCCCTCCTTTTGCAGACTTGCTGGACCTCAAGGATACAAAATACCCTGGCAGCCAGGGGACAGCAGAAAGCTCCAAGGAGGAACTTGGAAGGGAGCTTACCACTGAGCAGTCTACCTATTCCATTACTCTTGGACTTCAAAGGTTCAAGGAAGTCACATCAATGGATGCATCTGCCGGACTAGGACCAGCCCTGTCTGGCTGAGCCCCCCATGCCACACGGTAATTATGAGTAACTCAGGTTTGTGAGGAGAACTAGGGGAACTAACCCTTTTCTAATATTTTGATAGGAACTTCCAACTTTGATGAGCTAGGAGATGGGAGGAAATCCCTCCCTCCCTCCCTCTCCTTCCCTTAGGGACGGATTGTGTGGTCAAATGCTTAGAAGCAAATCCCAGGAACGTGACCAAGAGAAGAAGGGGGAAGAAGACTCTTCCCTACAGAGACATCTGCAGGAACCAGGTCTAAGATTCCCCTCCTTCCTGCTCCAGCTCCTCCTGAAGCCCTACCTTGCCAGGTCGGAACTCAGGGAACAGTGCAGTTACACTAGGCAGTTGCTTGGTGGCATCTCGCTGCATGATTCCCGCAAGCGGCAGAGTGAGTTGGCCTTCCTTGGACTCTGCCTGTCTGGCTTCCTGGGATCCCGACTCTGATTCAGAATCAGAGCTGCTGCTGAAATCCATCTTCTCTGAGGCAGCAGAGGAAGGAGCAATGATGGAGGGTAGAATAATCCCATCCCCATCTTCAGACCCTGGAAGAGAGCAAGCCTCTCAGCACAGACAGACGATCTGCACTTCAACCTCAACATCACAGAGACAAAACCAGGGCTGTGCATATGGAAAGCAACAGGGCCAAGGCACATGCAGCATCTTGAGAACTTTCCTCTCAAAAGGAAGACAAACGAGAGTTTCCAGCCCTCACGGTGTTTGGAAAAGCCTGGAAAGCTTTCCATATCCTTCTCTCATTACACATGCTTTTTGAAAAACTTATTATATACATGTTTTAAAATAAAATAAAATGTTCTAAATAAAATTTAAAAATTATGATGTGTTTGATATAATTATGTCTGAAGGCAGCATCTGGTACTCTCAATCACAAAGCTATAGTAGAAAAGAGCAAGAGCCCAGTAGCACCTTAAAGACTAACAAAATATCTGGCAGGAAATGAGCTTTCGTGAGACACAGCTCACGTCTTCAGATACAGCTAGAATGGGAGTCCACCTGTCCTACTTATTGGAAAGTGGAGTGATTTCAGATGCTGAACGACATTAGCAGGCAAATGACAATAGCAGGTGAATGACAACTGCAGGCGTAATTGGATTTAGGTGAGATATACAGAGGGGTAAATAGGCATGGAGAAATCAGCATTGGTAATAAGATGGGAAACCTAGGTCTCCATTCAGTCCAGGTGGATACACTGTCTTGAGTGACTCATGAAAGCTCATACCCTGCCACATGTTTTGTTAGTCTTTAAGGTGCTACTGGCCTCTTGCTCTTTTCTACTGCTACAGACAGACTAACATGGCTACCCACCTTGATCTAATCACAAAACTATAGTGGTTTAAAAATTATTATCCTGCTTTTCTCCCTAATCAGGACCCAAAACAGCTTATCGTATAGTTCTGCCCTCCTCCTCTTTATCCTCACAACCACCACCTTGCAAGGTTGGTTAAGCTGAGAGATTGAAGGTCACAAGGTTGCCCAACAAGCTTCCAAGGCCTAGTCAGACAGTAACTAGGCCAGCTGTACTTGGAGCAAAGAAAACATGAAGTTCTGTTTGAAGTCCCCATTCGGGAAGTTACCACTGTGAATAACAGAGAGCTGAACTTGCACTAGTGTTCAAATCGCCACTCAGTCACAAAGCTTCCTCGGTGACATGGAGCTTACTCCCATTTCTCAGCTAGCTTAATATCCAAACATCCTGGCAGTCCTACTCATTCAGACTCTCGGAGAGTTTCTGTCCAAATAAAACATTCTCTTGATTTCAACCTTCAACTTTTATTGTTTCCTGCCTCTCAGATGGTAAAAATTAAACAGAAATGTGCTCTGATAGTACAGTGTGCAGCAATTTGCAACTCTTTCTGAAGTATTGGGCATACTTGCAATTGTTCCTTTTAAAAAACAAAGACATTTATACTTTTAAATTCCATAAATATGCTAAATAGTAAAATTTTATATTCTAAGATAAATAATGCATTTCATATTGTTAAATCAGCAAAAGGAGTTTCCATTTGATAGGAAAGTACTGCATATATTGCAATTTCCCCAAAAATCTCACTGCCTTCAAAATTTCCAGAAATTTTACTCTCAGCTTAACATTAAATGCTGAAATTGTTAACTAATAAGTATTCCTTTACAGTTGATATATTGCTTTAAGCATTTAACAGTGCAATCTGCATATGAAGCCGACCCCCCACGTCAGCATAACAGAGATTTATATTGGCATAAGGGCTGTTTACGCCAGCGCAAGGCACAAGTGTTGCTGCATCATGTAGTACCATCAGCACAGAGGCCCCCTGGCCACATGACAGCAGAATATCAGCACAAACCCGGGAAAGCATAGATGTGGGTGTTCCAAGGGGCATGTTGAAAATTAGGGAGCTCCCAAAGTGTTTTCAGGGTGGAAACACTCCCCCCCACACACACCCGAACAGGCGCAAAGTTGCACCAGTAAAAATGGCAGCATAGCCCATTGGTGCCCATGATGGGCCAAATAACACAACCCCCCACCAGTGTTCCCTCTAAGCTGAGTTAGTGTGAGCTAGCTCACAGTTTTTTTAGCCTCCAGCTCACACATTTTCATCTTAGCTCAGGAAGGATGCCTCCAGAGCAAACTAATTTATGCAGTAGCCAAATCGCTCACTCACAACTTTAATGCAAGTAGCTCGCAAAGTAGAATTTTTGCTCACAAGACTCCACAACTTAGAGGGAGCATTGTCCCCCACACTGCCACAGCCACACCTATGAGAACCCAGGCAGCATAGGATGCCAACCAAGTGCACACCCAATCAGCATCCTCCCCCATACTGGCTGTGCCCTTCTGCAACACCCAATCAGGCCTCCCCATCCTACAAAAGTTTTCAGGAAATCACCCCACAACCCCTACGATAGGGCACGTGGCACAGAATGCTGTCTGACAGCTTCTTGCCGTGGGGACTTAGAGTGAGTGCACGCCCACCTCAGTGGTAGGCACAACACAGACAGGTAAACATCACAGGGAGAGTGAAGTTCACACTCTATCTGACCTCTCCCAGATTTCAGCCCCAACAGGTACACCAGCTCCTCTACCAGTATCCTAAGGGACAGCCATGCGCGCACACAAGTAAATATAACATCACTTCCCCAACCCCCTTGGCCAGCAACAATGGCTACAAGACACAGTGGACATCCACCAAGGGCCTATGAGGTTTGTGCCCCAGGCAGACAAGATGTGTTGGGGCACACCCAGGGTTGCTGCCAGGGAGGGGAGGCCATGGTGTTCGCCATGCACTGGGCAGCTCTCATTGACAGCTGCTACACCCCCACACACACACTCTGAAGTCTCAGAAACTAACTTCAAGGGCTGCCCTTAACGGTATATTTTCCTTTCCTCAGACCACAGTTCCACTATTACCATTATGATCCAACACACACAGCTTCTCTACAGGATAACTAATGAATTCTGAGGCTTGCAGGCCATTCCTGGGGTAAAGACATACCAGGGGCAGGCGAATCCTTTTCATCCTCTTTTTTCACTGGGACTGGAGGTGGAGGTGGTGGAGGCATCAGTTTGGCATCAATGTCTTCAGAGTCAGCATCATAATCATCATCATCATCATCTGAGATGGACAAAAGAAGGAATTCACTGAGCAGCCTTAACCTCATGGTACAACTTGTGATCATCTTTGCCATACTCAGACAGCATGAACATTTCTAAAAGACTAGAGCATCTTCAATCATTCAAAATTGTTCCCATTCTATCCAGAATCCATACACTCAATTCTTTACAAAATAAAATCTTGAAATAGGAAGAGGCAACAGTGAAACCAAGGTACATTTCCTTTTTTGTTGTTGTTGTTTAAGGTACTCCATTTATCCATGGTTTACAGAGCTGAGATCTCAGTCCAAGGAAGAGGATGGTTTGGAGCTATAAGACCCCAGATTAACATAGAAACTGCTGGCAGTTCCAGAGCTAGGTTCAGAGGCTGGGGTGAATAAAACAGCTACAAAATGTAACAACATTAAAACATTGATTCACTACACACACCTGTCTCTTTTGATTCAGTGCTTCTCATATGAAATCTATTTCAAAATAGTCATTATTAAAGTGAAAGGATCTTACAGGAGGAGAGTAACAGAAATTGGTCAAATACAGTCCAGTCAAACACCAGAATAAGAGGAACCAGATGGACTGGACACAGATCCATCCACATCAACCACCAATTACCTGTTCTCTGAACTGGCTGAAGGCTGCCCATTGCCTGTCGGTACCTGCGGCTCTCATCTTCAGCCACCTCAGTAATATCAGAATAATCGACAGCATCCTCAGTGCTCTTAACCCAGCCTGAAGGGGGGGAAAACACCCAGTCAAACACTTGCAGACCTGACACAGACCACCCTTTTCTGTGTGCCCATGTTTGTTCTGCTTTGCTCATGACAAACACAAAGTGAAGACTTTACAAGCAAAATCTCAACTTTATCCACTCCTGCAACTGTTCATGATGTAGAAAGTCAAGCACAAGCCTAGAGGAAGACAGACACATACTTCTTCTTAAGATACCAAAGGTCTGGCTTTTTCCCTTGCTTGGCCAGCATCTTCCCAAAGAGGAAAGAGATAGTGGCTAATTGGTGGGTGAGGTGCCTAGAAAGAGCTTTGTGCCCGGGCTCTCTCCCTGTTTGCAAACACTTCGGTCAAGGAAGGTGAAAAGTAAAAATGTGTAGAAAAGGATGAAGTGTTCTAACCCAGTTCTATGAAACACGTTTGCTCCAAGATAAGTGTTCTATGGCGCACATTTGCCCTGAGGCCCTGAAACAAAGAGCCATGCTAGACAACATCACTGCACCATTTTAGAGCTTGGCTTTTAACTTTTTTAACTTTTCAAAACACCATGAGAGCCCAATCATGCTGTGTCTTCCCTCTGCCCCTGGTAAAATTTTCAAGAACTGAAATTTATAGTTTTGAGAGTTCAGATTTTCAAAGTGCTGCAGCAAGAGTCACCAGAACACTGGTTCCAGAGACCAAAGATACAGTAAGCTGGCCCCACAATTAGTATTTATACAAGAGTCAGCATGGAGCCATCAAGGACCAAAACTTGACTTTTCCGACACAAACACCCAACCAAGGAAGCCAAAGGGTCCCTCACCTTCCTCATCCAGCTGAGTTCCATCTGCCTCAGAGGAGTCATCTTCACTAGCTGTGATCTCAGTGATGAGGCTCCCCAGACCCAGCGCTCCAAGTCCTGCCAAATGATTTTTTGATTCCTGTGGGAAATCAAAGAAGAACAAGTTTGAGGCAGGGAGAGAGGAGTCTTGGGACTTACTTTTATCAATATTTTAGTTAGTGGTTGGGAATACACAGTTGAAGGACACATGCTAGCCATACCAGCAGATAACAAGAAGTCAGAAAGTACAATTAACAAACAAATGGGCTTGAAAGCTACACAAGATGGGTCTGTAAGTGAATGCCCACAAACAAAGGTAAAAGGAAATGTGCTACAATAATGCTCTATCTGATATTCTGGAGAGTGGCTACCACATGACAGAATGCCAGGCTAAATAAACCAAGTCAGCCCCACTGGTGTAAGATAGCAATTCAGCAATATTTGGAAAGAGCCTCAGCTTTGTACACAGAAAAATCCAGCAGAGGTCCCTGGGGATCTCCAGCAAGAGATTCCAAGACAGCGTATCTTAGCGAATGCCCCCTCAACCTGAAAGCAAGTAGGCAGTGTATAGGGTCACCAGCTCCAGATTTGGAAAGTCATCCGAGATCTGTGGGTGGACGGTTTAAATTGGGGATGGGGGAGCTCAGCAGCAATGTGATGCCATAGAGTCCACCATCTAACTGTCGCTTTCTCCAGTTGAACTGATCTCTGTAGTCTGGAGTTCAGTTGTAATTGCAGGACTCCAGGCCCCACTGGAGGTTGGCAACCCTATGCAGTAATCAGGATCTGAGACAACGTCAGGATACTTCATATAGTCGCGCTCTTGCTTTACATCCAAGCCCCGACGACATCTGACAATGCTCTGAGCTGACCTCAGGCTCCAACCACCTACCTGGTCGAGCAGACCCTCGCCTTCCAACTGCCCCTGCTCATTGATATTGCCAAAAAGGAAACCAGCCAAGGAGAACGGAGTAGGCCGTCGCTCGTCACAGCCGTCCCCCACCTCCTCCTCGCTGTCCGAATCAGACATCCTCAACCCGGACCCGGGCGGCCCAGGTCAGCTACCACCCTGTGTTTATACCGGAAGCGGAAGTAAGGGTCTTTGGCAGCAACCATAGAAAGTAACCAGAACAAGGGACGGGAAACGGAAGTAACGTCACAGGCGCCGCTAGTTGCGGCTGGGTACGGGCCTCAGGAGTACTCCCTTCTGCCGTTTTTGATAAGAACTGGCCGCCGCTGTTCTGCGGGAGCTAGCGGGGCCCGCCTTGGTTTCCTTTATAAGCCCCCCCCCCCCCGGGTACTACACGTGTGATTTCCACAAAGGAAAGAGTAGCACACCAGGCTTCTGTTGGCCTAAGGAGAACATTCCGCTATCTTTAAAGGGGCAGTAAAATTACAGGTCTTCTAACACACACACCACCCACTCCGCCCCTGGGAGGCTTTCCACGGAGGCCCGGAAGAGCAGTTCGGGCTTTGTTGTTGTTGTTTAGTCGCACAGTCGAGTCCGACTCTTCGCGACCCCATGGACCAGCTCCCGCCAGGCCCTCCTGTCTTCCGCCGTCCTCTGAAGTTGGCTCAATTTCATGTTCGTTGCGTCGCTGACACTGTCCAACCATCTCATCCTTTGCCGTCCCCGTCTTCTTTGACCTTCAATCTTTCCCAGCATCAGGGTCTTCTCCAGTGAGTGCTACGCTGGCGGAAAAAATAACCACACACACACACACACCGGTCCTTTAAATGCAGGCCAGTCGCAACAGAGCAAAGGGTGGAGTGATAAGACATAAAAGCTGCGGAGACTAGGAAGGCAAATACCCGCATCCCCACCCCCCGTTATGTTGTGGGCCTTCTTTTTGCGTCCAGTGAAAATTCTTTTAGCATATTCCATGAGGGTACCCCAAGGAGCAGTTTTTAACGGAAGGGGGTCTGGAAGAGGCATCCCACTCCCACCCTCTAGCCTACTCTCCCCTGCCAGGCACCAGCGTGTTATCCCTTCTTTCCATTTAGATGCATAATCAAGTCTGTGAAATCACCAGTTTGTGGTGAGGAAATGGGGAGAGAGAAGCAAGAAAGTGGGGGAGATGAAAAAGAGTTGTATGGACGGACTGCTGCTTCCCATGCTCTAAAGGGGCCCATTCCCCTCTTTGTAAAAGGACTCTTGAAAGGCCATACAATAAAACATAAGAAATTAAAGCATTGTCTTTGTTTTTTTCTTTATTACAATTTAATTCTGCATAATTTAAAAATAACTTTGTTAGTTGCCATACAAATTTGTTTTTACCTATAAAATCAGTTGCCAGTGTATGTTTCAGTACCACACAGTCTCAAGTTCCCTTCACACATTAAGGCACATGTGGCCCAACCTTCCCCTACTTAACAACTCAACCAGGAAAAAATATCCCACCCGCCCCCAGCACCTGCAGCACCAAAATTTATTTCTACAAGGCAAAAAATAAAGGCTTTGCAAGGTTTTAAGGCCCATAATTTCTACACTAAGCCGAATATCGAAAGCTAGTGGCCTACAAAGTTTAGCCTGTAGCACTTCTGGGGCTCAGAGTACCACAGCCTAATAAAAACAGGAATGATTCATATGATAGATTAAAAAATAATTAAGTAAAAACTGGTGAGAGCAAACTGTCAGTAGCTGCATTCTCTAGTCATCAAAAACAGTATTTTCCTCCACTGTGTACCCTGAGAATGGTTAGATCAAGGGCAGAGAACTCAAGCAGGAGTGGGTGGGGATAACATTTAATTTATAGAAATTCTGGTGGAGTTGGCATCAAATCACAGAACTGCAAATTTTGTTCAACAACAATGAGAAAGATGCTGGATTTGCACAAGTTATTGAGCCAACATCATTACCCACCTGATCGGCACCTATACAGGAAGAACAGATCACAAGTAGCAGAATTCCAAAGTGCCACATTCTGACAAACTCAGATTTTGCACTCCACCAACAGATATAGGGGCTGCAGCTGGAATCACTATTTCACAAGGCTAATTGCATGGCAGAATCAGCTACAAAGCAGTGGCACTCTATTTTTTAACAGTTCTTTTCCCCATGGGTTGCACCACAAAAGTGATGCTCATAATACTTCCTCAAGAACAGCCGTTAACACATTTGTTCAATTAAGCAAGCTGTCCTTGGCCAGAAAAAAAAAAGTGCGAAGCATCAGGCTATCATCAAAATCTTAACTCAACTGCAGGTTTCAAACTTGGTCTTAATGCCACTAGATGAAATCAATGATGAAAAATACAGAGTCATGAAACACACATTTGCATAATTATTTTTCAAGAAGGGAAAGTTAATATTTCAGTCAAAGTTAAACCAGGCATATACGTATGTAATATATGCATCTCTGTAGGTTACCGAAGTTCAAGGGACATTTAAAACCATAGTAACAAACCAGTGCAGCCTTTTTAATACCATTTACAAGACAAGTCCTATTTGGCAAGAAGTTACTAACCCCTACCAGCAGAAGAAAAAAAAATCAATGAGCAGACACAGAAATTTTGCTGTTTGCAGAATCGTTGGTCAGATGGAGGGGAAGGGAGGGAGAGAGAATGAACAATCCAGGGCATATTTTTATTTTGATTTACTCCTACACAGCAGGCTGATTGCTGCCACTGAAGCTACATACAAGAACTGCTGATGCAGACAGATTACTAAGATACTTAAAGAACATAAAAGTTTAAGAGCACCTGTAGTGAAGCTGGGTACTGTAAATATCCAGCAGTGCCAGGTACTATTAAATGCATGATTACTTGTGGTCTCCAATGGGACAGGCATGCTGTTTTTACTGAGGGGGCTAGTGACCAAGCAGGGATGCAATTGGGGCTGCTTCCTAGAGCAGATGGCACAGGAGTATGATCTTGCAATAACTGAGAAAGGAAATTGTATTCTGCTCCACAAAAAGCTTTATCTGAAAGGCTGTAAGGAACAGTTTTCAATTACTGATATGGCTCAGGGACAGCCTCCAAAAGGAAAGTCACACACAAGAACTGCCAATCTCAGATCTATTCCACTAAGATGCAACAAACGCCACAAAGAGAGACAATGCTTGGTTGATATTATTAAACAACCCTCTTTATGAGCTGCTTATCCCTCAATGTCTGATGTCTATTATCACAGATGGTTTTAACATTGAACTTTTCTGGATCATGATTAGACTTCAGCATACCAGGACTCATGCGCCACAGCAGAGATACTTCAAACTCCTAAGATGTTGGAGTACGGTTATGGGAAAGACACAGCCCTGTCTACAAAAGACAGCTGACTGGCGACTAATGGCCAGGGGAAAGCAGCAACGTAAAAAACCCCCGAAACTGATCACTGTCTCTGTCAAGGACGACTATTCAGTTTCTGGTGTGAAGAAGGGGTTTCGCTATGAAGATGTCTCCCAGCTGTAGAATGAGAACTATGTAGGCAGAGGCACTGGAAATTTGCTGGAGAGGCTGATCCTTAACCCTGGAATCAAACTGCTCATTTCAGTCTGCCGGACCTGGTACCTGAACTGCAGGAGTATTTGCTGCAAGAAATTCTCTTTAGAGCCATTAGTGCAAGATGCAATTAGATTCAGAAGGAACCTCACAAACATCCCAAGCCCTCAGTCTTTGAGTCACAGTCCTTGGTGACTACAACAAAAGGCACTTCTTTGAGTTCTTCTTTGTCACAGGATACAACACTGCCCGCACAGCTTCTGCAAACACTTCTCGCACCCCCTCCTGGTTCAGTGCAGAGCACTCTAAGTATTTGACTGCTCCAATCTGTTTGGCCAGTGAAACCCCCTGCTGCGGGGTGGTGGGAGCCAGGCTCTGCTCCTTCAGCTTTTTCACCATCTCCACATTACTTCTCAAGTCCCGCTTGGTGCCAACGAGAAGGATTGGCACATTAGGGCAGTGGTGAGAGACTTCAGGGTGCCACTTGTGCCGCACATTGGCAAATGAAGAAGGGCTCCCAATGGAAAAGCAGATGACAAACACATTGGTCTGAGGGTAGGAGAGGGTGCGCAGCCGGTCATACTCCTCCTGGCCTGCAGTGTCCCAGAGATTCAGGCTAACCATTCTGCTGTCCATTGTCATCTGAGCACTGTAGTTGTCAAACACTGTGGGGATGTATTCCTCAGGGAATGCATTGGTGGTGTAACTGATGAGCAAGCAGGTCTTTCCCACAGCACCATCTCCAACAACCACACACTTTATCGTCTGCATTGTTTTGCCCTGAAGGGAAAAGTCCTGCACAAAGAAAAGGAAAAGTCAGAGGAGTCCAAGAAATAAAAAAGAAAAAGCAGTTTTACCAATGTTGTTGGAAGAGTTACCTGGATCTTACAGAATACATACATAAGGAAACATTAATATCCATACGCTCTTATTTCAGAGGTTACAAAAGGAAGTCTGACAGGCCAGCAAGGAATGAGCTATGGGCAATTCCTGTAGATTAATCCAAAGCCATGACCTTTTCTGAACACTGTTAACAGGCAATCATGTTTAAAATCACAACTTGTAGGGCTGAAATCTGCCTCAATATTTAGCCTGCTTCTGAACAATATACTCTGGATTTGTTTATTGCCTTCAGAAAACCTCAGAGCTCAGTACCTACCCATATTATTTCAGCATCTGACTTTGCTGCTAGAAAAAGTATTGCTGATAATCAAGCTCAACTTCTGAACTAAGCAGCAAAAGGAACAGCCTCTAACTCTACAACAAAGATTTCTGTAAGATTCTTGGGGGGCCAGCCCTATCTTTGAGTCTCTATAAGAGATTCTAACAGTTCAAAGCAAGAGGAAGCATTCTATTCTGTTTGGTATCAACCAGAGTCAGGCTGTTCCATCACAATTAGTAACTCCCATCTCAGGTCTATTCCAGTATTCCAAGACCAGCAAGCACTTAGAATGTGGCACCTGTAATGAACATTTAGTTCACTTTCTTTCTGAGCTACCACCAGGGACATGGCAGCCTTCTATGAATATATACAAAGAACTGTTAGAAAGAGGTCAAGAACAGATTATTCTCAACAACAACAACAGGACAGGCAGCTCAAACCCCATTAATTCCTGCAACAGAAACAGTTCATATTAAAGTCCAGAAATGAAGAAAAACTCAAGGCAGTTACTGGGAGAAGTTTTAGATTCACCAACATAATTAGACTGGCCTACAGCACTTCCAATCTCCTGTAATGCAGCTCCAAATACCTCCAAAATGGACTTTATAGGGCTGGATTTCACCTGTAAATACCAAGCCAGGTGTTACATGCTTTCAGATTGGAACTTCCAACCTAGCCCAAACAAGAAGCAACTTGTCAGCGTCTTTCTTGACAAGGCGATGGTTTGCTCCCAAGATACAGTTTCTTGCTGAGCAAGAAACTAGCCAAGAAGAGTACATTGCCCACTCCAGGAAATTAACAACTGCACCTCCTAAAACATGTATTAGCAAGATAACTCTCCAAAGAGCAACCTACCAAGCTAATTGCTCTTTGTGTCAAATCTCCTCCTTCACTGAGCACCGGTCAACTCAATCTATTAACATCTTTCTTGGACAACACCATGTCATCTTGGTCTTTGAGCTTTGTATTCACCCAACAGTAGCCATCCATATTCAGATCTTTCCCACTCTATATTTCCACCACTATGTCCTGCAATTCCCCAGGATCTTGCCAGGGTACTTTGCACTAGCTGGAGATAATCTGTACAGTATTAAATTTTGGTAAAAGTAATGAACCAACTGGGGAGGGAAGGTGGCATGGGTTCCCTCTAAGCTGAGTTACTGTGAGCCAGCTCACAGTTTTTTAGCCTTCGGCTCACACATTTTTGTCTTAGCTCAGGAAGGATGGCTCCAGAGCAAACTAATTTATGCAGTAGCCAAATCATCTGCTCACAACTTTAATGCCAGTCGCTCACCAAGTAGAATTTTTGCTCACAGGACTCCATACCTTAGAGGGAACATTACAGCCCAATCTGTCAGCCCTCAGAAGATAAGCAGGGTTGGCACTTGGAAGGGAGACCACCAAGGCAGACTCTGCAGAAGAAGGCAATAGCAAACCACTTTTGCTTCTCACTTGCTTTGAAAGCCCCTTGCTCGGGTCATCACAAGTCACTTGCAACTTCACAACACTTTACACACTTAATGAAGCTATTAATGCTGCTGCACCCAAAAAAGTGCCTTACTGGATATGCTTCAGAAGGTAGTCATGTTGGTCTACAGTGGAACATCTAGGTTCAAATCCTGCAGCACCTTGGAGACCAATAATATTTTCAGGGTATCTCTGACAAAAGCAGCTTTGACTCTCAAATGTTTATACCCAGGAGATCTTATTGGTCTCTAAATTGATACTGGACTCATATCTAGCTGTTATAGGGTACGTATTTGTCAGTGAGGAGAGGCAGCCACCAGCAAGCTACAAGAAGACTTTGGGAATAAGCACTGCCTGGTTGTGCCTGATCCCCACTTTATATCCTATCATCTACAGTCAAAAGGCCTCAGGCAGCTGGGCTGAGAAACATCTATCTCTGTGGGAGATCCTGGAGAGTTGCTGCCAGTCACAGACAGGTCAAAATGGAACAAAGGTCTCACTCAGATCCATATGCTTATTAACTTCATATATACTGAACTTTGCATCAACAGCTTCAGACATGAGATGGAAAATTTGGTAGTCCACCCTACCTTCAGGGTAGGGTCTTAAGCAAGCATAGATCTGCATAACAAGCTTTACCCCAGTGGCACCTTTAAGACCAACAAAGTCTAGTTCAAGGCATAAGCTTTCATGTGCAAGCACACTTCTTCAGATGACTGAAGAAATGTCCATGCACATGAAAGTCCACACCTTGAATTAAACTTTGTTGGTCTTAAAGGTGCCACTGGACTCAAACTTTGTTCTGCTACTTCAGGCCAACATTCAGACCTGAATCAAGCTTTACCCCATTATTCACTTTGCCCAGCAAGTGGCATTCAGCTCACAAAGCTCAGGTTGACCTCTATCATCCCAATGGATTACCCCATAGAATGTGCAAACCAAACCCCTCCAAAACAGCAGGCTGTATGTATAGCAGCAGTTATTTTGAAAACTACACTTGAAAGTAAAGACCTTTGCTTTCTGTTTCCTGTCAGAGGAAAGAGAGTAAAGCGGAGGGAGGAGGTAAGGCACCATAGTCTCTACTCAGGATCAAAACACTCTGGTAAGAAAACTGCTTAGAACAAAACAAAAGTCTTCCTGCTAATGTCAGCATGCTCACTAAAGTCAACAACTGAAGTTACAAGGCTTGGAAACAGATCACCTGGCATCCCAAACACCCTGTCCTCCAGGCATGCAATTCTATTGTAACAAATGCTGCCACACCCACAGGGAAAGACAATGACAAATCCTACAAGGCAGGCTTTAGTGCAAAACCATCTCTTTACCAGCATTATACTCTCTCCTGGAAAACACAGGTAGCTGCAATATTTTGCAGATTTACAGAAACCCATCAGCAAAATTGTCCCTTTGCTGACCATGGTCACTAACTTTGCTCCCCACATAAAAATTACTTGTTTTACAAGAATCTATGCACGGAACGGGCCAGACCTCCATATCACTTTGGAAGAATGTGAAGATTGGAACAGTCTACCAAAGCTCGACTTATAAACCACCGGGGTGAGAGAAGGTCTGTGCCAGATGCGACAGAAGATGCCAAAGTATGAGAGCTGTCAATTCCATGACATGCAATAACTCTATGGAGGTTATAACTTTTGTCAACTGAAAATTAAATCCAGAGATAATTTGATGGCACCAGCATTTTGCAAGAGTTGCCAGTATAGGATTCCACTAATCCTCAAGATAATTGTATCTGCCTGAAGGCAGAGAAGTCACTTAAGAATGATTGTGTAATACCGCTGCATCTCAGTGAGAAATGCAGACTGAAATTAGATAAGTAAATAAAGAAGGATGCAAGAAGGCCCAGGCTCTGAAAAGAAGCTTGAAACAGTCACCAACTTAGTTTGATATACTTTAAAGACAGTCAAGGGATACAACTACAGAAGGATCACAGAGCACTATCAAATCCTGAGCCTGCTTTGCTGGGAGGGCGGGGTATAAATCTGACTATAAATAAATAAATAAAATAAATACAGCCTATCCAAGCCAGGCCCGGTGCCCTTCACTGGTCTCATCCCCCTAATACATACCCATAAGAAGGGAATCACAGGACTCATTCCCCTTCTTAAGGCGAAGAGCAATGGAAAGATGCCCTCACACCCAAGCAGAGCCCTGCATCAACAAAGACATAGAGTGTGGGAGGAAGGTAGCTTTTTCTCGTGCCCTTACACCTCCAAGTGCAGTCTTCAGTAAGCAGCCAACTGCAATCATCATGCACATCCAACTCCACTTCAAGGCACAGGAGCAGGCCACTCTAGTCAGTTGGCAGCTCTAGCAGATAGAAGATCAGCTACTCCGCTTTCTCTCTCTCCCCCACCCCCAAATATCTCAAGAGAAAAACAGAACGGGTATTAGGTGGAGCTCACGTATGTAGGAAAACAAGGCGGTAGAATGCTGAGTCAGTAGGTCAGCCTAAACCATTTTAAACAGCAGGTGGGGAATTCCTGGCTTTGAGCACTTCTTTCCTCAAAAAATTCCCTACAAATAGCAAATGAGCACAACAGAAAGAAAAGTTCTATTCCTTGTAATCTGGGCAGCACAGTAAGCAAGCAGGGCGTTTGTTAATATACACAGGAGCCGTTCCGAAATGTGACCATCCCCAGCAGTCCGTTCTATTTTCCCCCGACATTCAATTCCCTCCATTCCAAGTCCCTGCATGCGTGAACCAAGATTTGCTTCAGTACTTTGGGGTACGCCTATATTAAGCCATATTTTTAAAAATCAAGCAGCCGCCCCGCCCGTAGCCTTCAACCCACATCCGCTGCTCTGATACCACTAAGGGGTGGGATCTGTTACCCACCCAACCCAGCCTTACCTTCGGCCCCGCGCGCGATCCCGGTGCCCGCAACCAGCCCAAGCGAAGCAGTATCCGGCAGTCAGAACCCGCCCACTCCCCCCGGCCTTCACAAAGCGCATGCGCCTTCTTCCCTTCGTCCAAAAGGCTTTTAGATGATCCCTTACAAGCGTTTCTGGGAAATGTAGTTCCTTAGGAAAGCTACGGCGGCCGAGAGTGGCTCAGGTTGGAAAATACTTTTTTTGTGTGTGAATTCATTTCGAACTTTTATATCCCACGCTGTCAGCTACGAAGCCGCTTCGAGAACCTTTATTAAAACCTGAAATAAACCACTAAAAACACGTATTATACAAGTAAGCCAATAAATCTAGAATTGCAGAAACTCTGGAAATGTCCTCGTTCCCACTTTCTCACAGTTCGCCCTAAGGAAAGTGCTGTTAATGGGCTTCTCGCTCACTGTGCCGCATGAAGGGTGCAAGGATGAATTAAACCCAGCTCCTTGGAGGAAAGGCGGGGCCCAGAGGGGAGGAAGAATCAAGATTGGTTAAGGCGGGACGAACGCTGACGCAGATCCTCCACAGGCTGCAGGGGCGGCGGAATCAACGTTAAGAGCTTACTGGAGCAGCCGAAGGTTTGTCAGCCTGTTTCCAGCAGTAGCCAAACAGATGCTTCTGGAAAGCTCACCGGGGTAAGAAAGTAAGCACTCCTCCACTGTCTGTCCAAAGCAGCTGGCATTCAAAGATAGACTGTCTTTAAACCTGGACAGGAGGCTGTATTTGTCTATCGTAGCTAATAGCCAGTTATAAGCCAATCTTGCTGTATATTTATTTATTTATTTTATTTATATTTAAATTTATACCCCGCCCTATCCCGAAGGCTCAGGGCGGCTTATTGTGTATAGTTTATTGTATGTTGGATCCTTCTGTGTAATCGTGCATTTTGCAGATGGTCTCATGTGCATATACAGGTGTAGAAATTTTGGCAGCTTGGTTTGCCAATACTAATGCTTCAAGCCTGGCCCCTTGACATACGCCCTGCTTTGCATGCAGAAGATCCTAGGTGTGATCTTTGGTGTCTCACATTGGAAAGGTTGCAAGGTGAGGGAAGATTTTGCTGCCCTAGACCTTGGAGTGGCTGCTGCCTGCTAGACAGGACCCCAGTGAGCTAGAGAAGTCTGACTGTGTAGAAGATAGTACCATATGCTGGATGTTGCACCTTCAGCTGCCCTCTTCCACAGAGCCAAAATGAGAGAAGAGCATAAAAATCTCTCACTGCCTGCTGGACTCTAGTAAGGGTCATGCTCTATCTCACTAAGGATAATCTGAGCCCAGCTTTGACCAAGGAGAGAGTTGCTGCTTTGGAGAGACTGCACAAAAACAGCAAAAGCACAAATCATCCTGTACTCAGAAGGAAATTCCATTGCATTCAATGGGGCTTACATTCCAGTTGTAGCAGTAGAAAAGAGCAAGAGTCCAGTAGCACCTTAAAAACTAACAAAAATTGTGGCAGGATATGAGTTTTCATGGTTATCCATTCATGGTCATCCAGTTGTAAGTATGCTCCAGGGATCAGTGAAACTAGCAACTCAGTGTGCATCTTCTCCCCACCCCCAAAAATTCACTGTGAGCTGCCAAAAGCACACCCCTCACTCACCAAAGACACATTGTCACTGGCAGGTTTGCCAGCTACTTACAGAAAAGGTGTCCTGTCCATTTAACAGAGGTTTAATGGGATGTTATTTACCTCCATGCCCTGCAAAGCTTCAGCTCCCCATTTCTACACATGATTTTTGCATCAAGGCAAAAGAATAAGATGCCACTCTGAAGGAGAAAAGCAGGGAACCAATATTTAAATAAACATGAGATGAGCTGGAACACCAAGATACATATTTATAGCCAAGGCAGATCATGGTGTATGAAGAAAGCAGGCTGTTGTATGGTATATGTGCTCAATACACACTTAACAGAAGTTGGTCTCTTTAAAGAGAGAGAGGTCAGTGTGCCTATTCTGTCCTTCTCTGGCTGTGTCCACTCAGGCAGACTTCCACTGCAATCTTTTGGATTGTCTCTCTTAACAGATAATAGTATTACCTACCTGCAACATCCTTCTAGGGCCTCTGAGAGCATCATGAAATGCACTGTGGCAAAACGATGTTGTGGACCTTATTTCTCCTGTATCTAACCAGGCTGTTCTAATTTTCAGGGCCTATAAAGCAGCAACACCAGCATCACAGGGGGTTGTAGTCCCCTAAAGGAGCAGATTTGTAACTTAGGGATGCTGCTAGATACTGGCCTACAGTTGGAGGCTTGGGTTTTAAATAATTTGTTCATTTTAATTATTTGTATACTGTTTTGTGTTTATCATGTTTCAATTTGTGAACCACCTTGACCCCAGTTCCCTGGAGAGTTGGCATGCATTTTCTAAATAAATATTGTCCTTTCTATTTGTTTACAAGCTGATTCATTTAGCTACCTCCATCCTTACATTTGCCCTCCATCTTTAAACCTGTAAGAACTGATGGAAATGTTCCACAACAGCATTCATAACAGCCCCTGCCTCTGCTCCTTCTGAAGCCCCTCAAATTCTGACAGTATGCTGTGCAAACTTGTTTTCCCACATTTTGTTTCTGTACAAAATCACTTTAACTATGTGTTGTGTTCCTGCTGTAAAACAGTCTGGTTTT